TGATCATTTCCGGCGTGGTGACTTCATTTGGCCTCCCGAGACGCTCATCATCAAAAACACTCGTACGACCACGAACAAATGCAGCTTTTCAAAATTTTACTGTTGCTAACGAAGGTGCAACCTCACCATAAACTTCGTCCAGATTGACTTTGATTTGCACATTCGTTTTACCCTTTTTGTGGAGGAACTTAATCACCGAACGATACTTGACTTTTTCCATTTCTCCGAATACACAAAATTGCCTTGCATTTGACGTCTGTAGAAACCAAACTTATTGTTTTTAAAACTTAAAATTTTGACAGACATGTCATGAATGGCAAATGTCAACACAGAAACCAATTCGTTATCAAGTATCGCCATCTATCAAAGGCTAGTTTAATATCAATCTATTCTCGTAGATTTAAAACACCTTCTAGTGAAACGGAGCTTTGATACATCACTCAGAACTATCTCATAGGCAAGCTTCGTGTTTTTTTTTTGTTTTAAAAATCGTTTTGCATGATAAAGATAAATAACTCTTTTAAAAGAGGTACTAAGTTATCAATATGTCGCGATAAATTTAAATGTCAGTCGTTCTATCATGCCGAGATTTCGAGAATTAGATTTATAAAGCCGGGATCTGACAGAACGTGCTGCGGCGTTTTTCAACGGTGAAGAGAAATCGAAAATACGTAACAAAAAAATACAAAATATAAAGTCGGGAACCAACGTAACGTGAAGTACCGTTTTCCCCTCAATATTTGTGGTTTACGATCGCTGGGATAGGGCAAAACTGTCTGTTTACGGTAAGAGTGCTGTCCCGTCGTTTGTTGGTGGATCAATACGGTTTAAAGGAAGTTAGAAGCTGATATATAGAACGTGCCTACACCTTCAACCCTTCTGACGTGACTAAATGTAGGTATGATATGGAGTAGTGTAACGAAGTTGTGTTTGAATTTTTATGATTGTATAAATTACCCAAATTACTAAAATATTTACCTCAACGATGGTGGCGTACAACAGACTAACCTAAACTAAACCCTCGGTATTCGAATTGATCAAAAAGTTTTATTTAATATTTAATAATAAAATGAGGAACGCCTATCCACGTTCTGTCAGATCCCAGCTTAAGCAAGGACCAGCACCTATGGCACAAGTGTAAAGGGGGTTAGTCCACGACACGATCTGGCTGAAACTGCTTTTCAATCAGTCTAAAACCGGTTTTATTCGACCTTCCTCCCGTGGTCACAGTTGAATTGCAGTTTGTTCTGGCACCTTATAACTCTGCGTGTTTGTTTTGTTTTATTTGTTAATTATTTTGTTAATTTACTTAGGTAAAAACGATGCACTAAGAAATGCTTAATGGACCCATCACAGTATTAATCCGTTGTATAATTCATCCATTTATACGATCACTTAAGAAAACTTTGATATATTCAATAAAACGAATGTATAAGAAAAAAATGTAGACGGCATATCTGTAAACGTGAACAACACAGATCGTTTTTTTTTTTACTCCAAATAAATATTATTTAGTCTGACATTCATCCACAAAAATATTTAGGTAAAAAATATGCAAATCTGTATATATAGAATTTATTTTTGAATATCATAAACAAGTAAAAAAAAAGTAATAACCTTTATCAAAATATTTTGGAATTTTGTAGAACTAATATAAAAGTAAATGAAAATAGTTTTGTTAGTTGAGTCCGTTTCACAAAGTGAAGTTCACCGAGATTTTACAAAGTTCGTTCATGAAGGTCTTTTATAATTTTTAACTCAACTTGTACCAAAGTTGTTTAAATGTGTCCTTTTCACTGTATATCCTGTAGAATATGAAAACTTTTATAAAGTACATTGTGATCGAGAGGCTTTTGAAATGTCGTGTTGTACGTCATACTGTTGTCCTGGTAACTTAAAACTTTGTTTTTTTTTTTAATAACTTTTTAAAAACTTTCGAAATGCTGATACAGATGCAAGGAAACATTTTGCATTGCACTCTATTTCAATTCAGAAGTTCAGGAATTACGTGTAGAATCTTGTACAATGTACAATATAAACTACTGAGACTGATGCGTTTAATGCATAATATTCTGGCTCAGAAATCGAAAGGAATTTTAATGCTGTAGCTTTATGATGATTTTAATGAAATTTAGTGAACAATAACTAAATAGTTATGATCTTGTCGAACCTCTGTGAAAGTAAGACGGAAAAGAAGTATTAATATTGAGAATTTTAGAAGCTTTTAATAAATAACAGTTCATTAGCACTGTAGACAAAATAGTACAGAAGTATATCTTGCAGAGAGAAGCAATTGTACTATTTACTTTATGGTCCTACTTAGACGAGGTTTGTTCTTTTTAGTTTTGCATACAGCCGCTTCGAAGGCGCCACCAATAAAACCTTCCAACACAATGCCTCGATGTTTTGTTGAAATAATTGGAGAATTTCATTGGCATACAACTTTGAGCATTGCAAAGGTCTTGAAAAGAAACTGAGTGTTACGAAGTTGGATCCCTCATTTGCTCACAGAAGAGCAAAAACTGGTCTGCTTCAATTGGTGTCGAAAAACGGTTCAACAAAGGAAGCTCATAAAACGTTTATAGTATTTTTATTAGTGGCTATGAATCTTGGATTAAGTCCTTCTTCTTCTAGTTCCTATCCGTTTCGGATGTTGGAAATCATATTGGCAATCATAACCTTGCTCGCTGCGGCTCGAAACAGCTCCGTTGAGGTTTTCTTAAACCATGTTCTTAAATTCCGCAGCCATGATATTCTCCTTCTACCGGGTCCTCGCTTACCTTTGACTTTACCTTGCAATATAGACTGTAGCAGGGAGTAACGGTGCTGATTTCTCATAACGTGTCCCAGATATTGCAATTTTTATGCGTTTGACCGTAAACATAATCTCTGGTTTCTTCTTCATTTTTCCTAGAACTTCCTTGTTCGTGATCCTTGCTGTCCATGATATTTTCAGCATTCTTCTATAAAGCCACATCTCAAATGCTTCAAGTTTTTTAATAGTGGCGTCTGTAAGCGTCCATGCCTCTGCCCCGTACAACAACACAGAGAAAACATAGCATCTCAAATGTCTCATTTTTGTATCAAGGGATATGTTGTGACTTTTGAAGATGGCGCTCATTTTGTTAAAGACCGTTCTTGCCTTTCCTATGCGGCACTTTATTTCCTGTAAATTGCTCCACTGTTCGTTAATAATAGTTCCCAGATAACAATACTTTTTTACTCGCTCTATCTGCGTCCCATTAATGTATATATGAGCCCCATTTATATTCTCCTTGCTGATAATCATTTGTTTCGTTTTGTGGGTATTAATGTTTAGTCCGTACTGTTGACTGTACTCGTTTATTCTGTTCATTAGCCTCTGAAGTCCCTCTAAACTATCTGCTATCACCATGGTGTCGTCGGCATATCTAACATTGTTTACTCTTTCACCATTTAGAAGGATGCCTTCGTCTATTCCGTAAAAAGCCTCGTTAAAAATGTTCTCTGAGTACATATTAAATATCAACGGCGATAGGATACATCCCTGTCTAACTCCACGTAGTATTTTTATGTGATCTGTTTCTTCTCCGTTAATTTTCATGTATGCGGTCTGATTCCAGTAGAGTTCTGAAATTATTCTGAGGTCTTTGTCATCCAGGTCTGCCTCTTTTAAAATGTTTATCATCTTTTGATGTTGAACTCTGTCAAATGCCTTTTCGTAGTCGATCAAGCACACGTATACGTCGCAGTTAACGTCCCTACATCTTTGAATCAGTACCTGTACTCCAAAAAGTGCCTCTCTGGTACCCACTGCGTTAATTAAGCCGAACTATCTGTCCGATATTTGTTCCTCGCACTTCTTATAAATTCTTCCATGGATGACTCTAAGAAACAGTTTCAACATGTGGCTCATTAGACTGATTGTTCGATATTCTTCGCACTTTTTAGCCCCCTGTTTTTTAGGTATCGCTATGAATTCTGATTCTAGCCATTTATCAGGGATGATTCCTGTATTGTAAATTTTATTGAAGACAGCCGTGATCCAAATTATTCCTTCTTCCTCCAAGAGTTTTAAAAATTCAGCTTCGATATTATCAGGCCCTACAGCTTTCCTGCTTTTCATCCGTTTTATTGCTTCTTCTACCTCGGATTTAAGTATGTCCGAGCCCGTCATCCTCTCTGAAAATGTATGCCTATAATCCGTTCTTTGGTCTTGAAAAAGTGTCTCCAAATATATTCTTCATCTGTCTTTCATCTCTTGGGTGTCAATGATTAATTTTCCATTGGTGTCTATGTCAATGGATTAAGTCCTACGAACCGGAAAATAAACTCATATTCACTGTATGAGTGTTTCACGATGAGGAAAAACCAGCAAAGGTGATCCATTCTTAAGGTGTCTCAAAGAAAATAGTCGCAACTTTTGTGTTAAAATTTGATCATGTGGCAAAAAGTGCTTTAGAAGATTGAATAACTTCTACTTCTGTTTGGTATACAACCGTTTGTTTACCAGGAGTTATCGCGAAACTCCGACAAAGCAACACAAAACGGCGAATCATCATACATACATCAGGACAATGCAAGTGGTTACACTGCCCAAAAGACAATAGAGTTTTTGGAGCTTCAAAACATAGAATAGTTAAACCATCCACCGTGTAGCCCGGACCTAAGTCCCAGAGTTTAGCCAGGGTTTAAAGTTTTACCAATAGGTTTGAACGTATGCAAAAATGTATCGATCTTGGTGGGACATATTTTGAAAAGCAATGAATGAAATAGTGAAAAAGTCTATAAATTTTTTGCCTTTATGGCTATATGCAAAACTAAAAAGGCAACCCTGGTACCCATTAAACACACTCATGGCATTTGTTTTATAACAACATGATCAATCTCTTTATCTTTATCTTTCTTAATTGTGTCTACTACAGTTATAGTGATTTAAAATAGACTTAGTGATTTCTTACTTATATTACGGTTAATTAAATCTTTGTATACAAAATTAACCAATTCTCTTTTTATTGCAGCAACTCTTCCGATCTCAGCAGTCGCAAGCTGCAACACCGAGCGCTGCACAGCTTCAGCTGTTGCAGCAACAACAACAGCAGTATTTGGCGCAACAACAACAAGCTGCAGCAGCATTCCCACAACCCCCCTACCTCGTCAATCCCCAGCAGGAGCCTTACTTGATAACGGCTGGGGTGCCGGCGCAGTACTATGGGGTGGGACCATGGGTATATCCCGCTCCCCCGGCGAATCTCATCCAGCAGGGTGCCAGCAATGGAGCTAGACGACCGCTTACCCCCAACGGGACGACTGAGGCACAGCAACAAGTGCAGGTGAGTGATTTATATTAGGAAAAAATCTCCTATAATTGTTAATATTCTTGAGTTTGGTAATTTGTTAAGGGCACTTTTTTTTAAGTCTATTAGAAATTCCAAAATAGTCTTTAAATATTTCTTATATAAATTGTTCCTGATAATAAATGATAAACTATAGTAATAATAGTCAATGACATAAAAACAACTTTTGGTTTTCGTGAATATTCTAGAAAAATGTAATAAAGCCAGGCTTCATTTTCAGTTTTAGATGTAAAAAATAGATTTTTTAAAACCATTTCCAAGTTTATTTTGAACGGATCGTTGTATTGTCTCTAGTAATTTGTATATAACTTTTTCATCCATTTTCTTTTTGTAGAGTACTTATAAATATATTTATTTGGTTAATTCATCTTTAATATACATTGACCTAATAGCTGTACACTAGCGAATTTTTCCACGAAAACTTACTACTAATATCGTTTTAATAACAATAAACATACACTCGGATCATGTAGGTATTATGTTGATTTTTTTCCTTTTTCTATTATGTAGGTATAATAAGCATGTCCATTCAGATGTAGATATAATCTAATTGCGTTGTCAAAAATTATTTCAAGGTTAATATTCTTAATATCGATCTCTTTCGTTCTTTAGAATTAAGAAAATAGTTGTGTGTTGTAGAAAGATGTGACAAATCCTTTATGTTAAGAAATCGAACGGTTTCAACTACTTCCCGTACAGAGGGATGTCTTTGTTGATTTTTTCCACTTTTTGTAATTTTTCCAATTTCTTCCATTTTTTTTCGCCTGTAATCGCCTGGAAGAGCACACCGTCAGTAGCTACGGAGGTTCTACTAAACATCGGTATAAGGGGGAGAAGTTGACATATGACCACGAGAGAGATGCTGCAGAGAAAACAGAATCCAGGCTGCACAAACGGGTCAGAAATTGCAGAAGAGTCGGGTGTAGGAATATCCAGCACTGGTGGAAATTTAAACACGTAGGTTTTTGAACTGAAGCGGATCGATATCTGCACAGATAGTGAAACGGCCATGGGGGCTCTTAAAAGCCCTACAGTGAACTCTGGGCTAGTGTGGGAACATATAGAACTCAACACGGCGGAACACAGTAGGGTAACGCTAGTATGGTTATACCGGGAAATAGGCACCATTGAAAGAGTTGCTGAAATTGCTAGAAGAGGTTCAGCGACAGAAAACTTTAGTGCAGAGGCGGTCATAGGAGTGCCAAAAAGCATGGTACCCATCCATTGGACCTGCACAAGCTCGTACAGGGTCCAGAATTCTATAATTGGTATGGTACGAAGGAGTTGAAGATGTTTAATAACCCAATTGGCTGCAGTACGATTGGCGACAAGTGGACGACTTTAGAAAAAAAAGTCATTGTAGCTGTTTTGTTAGTTTTTGTTTCTATTATTGTCTTTTTTATATAAATTACATTATTATATACTTAAATTAGTTGTGTCCTTTCCATTTTTCGTTGTATATCTACGTTTTGTTTCTATCTTTTGCGATAGTTCCCAATTCTTGATACCCTTGAGTATTTTTTAAACTCTACTTATTGTCCAAATAATTTGACAATATTATTGCTTTTAACCCTCTCTATTTGAATAATATAAGTATATCTGTAGTTATGTTTTCGGTGTAATATGTAAAATGTACATTAGTCAAAACATTAAATGTTGTATATCACTGTAATTTAACTGATACATACTGGAAACTATGTACAAACATTGTAAATACCAGATTATGTAAATTTTTCCAGCCGCAAGTACCAGGAGGCTACATCGTTCCTTACTACGACCAGAACGCGACTCCCATCCTGATGGCACAGAACGCCGCTGCCATGCGCAACGGTACGCCAATGCGTTTGGTGTCTCCCGCGCCCGTACTGGTGCAACCGCAAGCTGCCGCAGCGGCAGCCACGAGGCAAACTCAAGCCGCCGCGGCCGCGCACGCCGCAGCTGCCTCTTTGTATTCCAGCACACAGCAAAGTCTGTACGGTGCCACAAATGTCAACACTTCTGTCAATGGGACCACTCTTGGAGGTAGGTGCAACTAGACTCTCGAGTCTTTTCTGTCGTTTGGTTTTATTTGTTTCCTAAAAATTGTTCATAGGAAAGGTGTAAGATTATATTTAAACAAACTGAAAGAATTTTTACACAAACACTTGTTTGTGGTTGTATGCAGCTACTAATCAATTGTCGTGTCTAAAGGGAAAATCAATACCACCAATTCTTCATATTGAGTAACATAACTTACTAAACAATAGACAATATTGTTGTTTTGTCTAAGCAGCAATGTAAATATCTTTCAAGAGGCCTTGTTGAACCCTTTCTTGATTATCTGGTTATCTGACTAACGATCGATTTTTTTCCTGCTGTTACTGTCCCATTAACAGTTTTAGATCAGACCCATTTATCAGAATATTGCCGGTCTCGTATCTTCTCTGGCTCGGGTGTTTCTCTGCAAATCGTTTAAGCCTAAGCCTGTCCAAGCTAGTATGTTTTAAGCTAGGAGCAGTATCTGAGCGTCTACCTTCGATCTTGCCCTGTCTTATATGAACTGATAGAAGTGGTATCCATCGGGACTCATTACATGACTAAAATATACAGTTTTTCGATTTATTTTGAATTCGATCAGCTCACGTTCACAGATTTCGATATACCCACATTTCAAATGCCTTAAGTCTATTCAGGCAAACTAACTTTGAGCATTCACGCTTCAACCCCATAAAAAGTGTGACACTTTACAAAGTTATTGCATTAATTACGTTACATTACATTATTTTTATATCGAGCGGTCTTTCTCTGAGGAGGCTAAACATTTTTAAAGTTTGACCTGATTATTTTATTCAAAGATTCTCGTTGATCGAACTGTCCAGGTATTTGAACTTGGAAACTTTCAGTCATTAGGTTACGATTTACCACCAATATTCTTTTTCAGAGTTATTTATCAATATTCCATTCCCTTATATGCTATCTTCTGGGCTGTCGAATGCGAAATCTATCTTAAATTATTTATCCAACGTTCCATTCACTTTTATGCAATCTTCTAGGTCTTGGGCATCTCACAGTACGTGTTAAAAAAGTATGGAGCTCAGTACACGACCTTTTTTAGATCTTTGGAGACCAAACCTTTTCTTCCAGAATATTCAACGTGGTTTATGAAACATAGATAAACTTTTCCGTTGGTCCCTGCACTTCTGTAATAAAACTGATAGCGCAAACAAAGCCTCTCTAGTTCCCAATTCTTCTCGAAAGCTCATACAGGTTCTTATAGGACTCATAAATATGCATATTAAAATGAAATTGTGTCCAATTGATCAAAACTTTCGGCATATATTAAATATAATCTTACAAAGACTTTGTACATATTATTTTAAATTTGTACATCAATATCTTAACTGGTTAACTTCAAATTTTCAAAGATGCGAGAATTACAGATCAAGAGCATTTTTGTACATAAAAGTAGTAGTTTTGTACATATAGTAGTGATGTAAATTTTATGTTTATATTCTTTAATAGTTTCACAAGTAACTTTTTTATATTATCAAGAAAAATTTTTTACAGTTATATGTACAGGGTGTGTAAAAGAACAAGGACGGTCGAATATTTCGCCGTATTAAACATCGGATCGAAAAACTGAAAAAAACGTGTTCAATATTTTTTAAAAAATTATCGAATAACACTAAACACAACCCCCCTGCCATACCCCCTGGGGCGTGGTGGTAGGCAACTTTGAAAGCCTAAAAAGTGGAAACCCTATTTTTTGTTACAAATTGAATTCATTCATTCATTCAAAGGATTTATATAACAAATGTGACTCCTTAAATGTAGCCTGGCAATAGAAATGCGAAGGTGGTGACATATTCATGAGCATGGCTATTGAATGTCCGCACCAGCAATGAACTCTAGAAAGTTAAAAGAATCTTTCGATATTTTATGATCAAATAACAAGAAAAAGCGAGGCTTCCACAAAATTGCTGAAGTTGAGTTTTCACCACAAAAATTGTCTTTACTAATTACTTAACGTCGGCTGCCATCGTGATATGAAACTGAAATGACTCGCTAACTTGGCATTGAGCAGATAACTTGAAAATGCGTATATAAACAGTTTTAATAGATAAGTGAGTCTGTGTTACGCAACAGGATTCTTGACCTAAGTACTAAGTACTTTTAACTTAGTCTAGACACAGACAAAATTAATTATATGGTAAATAAATATAAGATGTAATCAGAGGCAATCTTATAGGTACAGCACGGTCAAATTTTTTATAGCGGTTAGTAGGAATATAGCTTCACTACTAAATCATATTAACTAAAAAATTTCGTTTTTCACAAAAACTTGAAACCCACATATTTGTCTACAGAAGAAAAAGTGCGTGAAATTTCTACACACTACAAGATAATCGAATCCATCAATTATTTTTACAAGATAATAGTTCCGATGACACATTCAGTATATTCATTGGTTGAAGGATCGTAAAACAAGAATAGAGAGGATGGGAGGCGAGACCTAGGCCAGTAAATAAATCGAAATCAGGATTATTCACGTGCAATTGTTTAGTACCCCTATTTCTCGGCTGTAACTAGATTATAGCGTTAATAACAGCATATACTCTTTGCCTAAGGAAATTCGAGAAATATCTGATGTAAACATTCACAAAAAAGCAGTAACCATCGTCAGGAGTAATGCTTCTACATTTTTCAAGAGTTGATCTCTTCACGCATAATAGATTGGTCCCTCTTTTTCTCGACTGTGAATAGATTATAGCTTTAATAACAGCATATGCTCTTTATCTAAGAAAATTCAACAAATATACGGTATAAACATTTACAAAAAAGCAGAAACTCGGAGGAGTAATGCTTCTTGTAATGTTTGAGAGAAGCAAATGCGGAATACATACTTAAAGACAGATTATCTCAATAAAATTATCTGCAGCTAAAAAATATTTTCAATGTCGCAAAATAAATAACTTTTGCAATCAAATTATTTCCCTTCAAAAATTTGTCGTAATTTAAGATGGTTTCTAATGATGAAAATTCATAAATAAGCCTTCAGCTACTCGTGAGATAATTAACAAGGCACTTTCAAAAGATGGAGATTTAGAAGAAAGGGGTATAAAATATTCAGATCGGAAGTCTTTCTAAGACAGTTTATTTTACTGCAAATGGAAAAGTTTACAAATTGCTTAGAGTCGGAAACAGCAATAAATATGAATTCGATGTAAATAAAGTTATTAGATGTTGAGTTTATACCGCATACATGTTGCTCTATGTAGATCGATGTGGTTGGAAAGGTCTTTATAAAACAAGGAGACATACCTAGGTACCAATAAAATGTACAAATACCTAGGTACATAGAGAAAATATTGCAGAAAGATCGTCGAAAAGAATTTAAGAATATGTATACGGGGGCGAGAATACAAATTTTCTGGATAGTCTTATATGGGACTGATAGCAATACAATAATTACAGTAGAACCTTCAATAAATATTATACTAATTTGGGTTGTGCTCGATTTGATTTATGGTACACTTAAAATAAAATTAGTACGGAACCAAAGGTTTTACAATTAAATGAGAAAGTTAAATACGAAAAAAAAAACAATAAATTTACTATTCAGTTAATATGTCGACTTAAACATGTTTAAAATAGAGACTGTACAAAAATATTTATTAACAGTAAAACAGTAAAAAATAATGAAATATGCAAATATATAATAAAATATTTTAAATAATAAACTCATATCTCGTAACCGAATTTACTCGAATTGTCTTAGAATATAAGGGGAATTTACTCACAATATTTCACATAATCTGTTCATCAGATTAACTGGATGGTGATTTACCGAATAAAAAGGGCCTCAAATGAGAATAAAGGTCGCCTCAAAATGAGGAGCAACTTAGATTGGGATAGGATAAACTTGGACTAAAGCAAAAAAATAGATATATACATTTGGCATTTGTGGACCTGAGAAAGGCGTATGACTCTGTAGCAAGGTCAGAATTATGAGAGGCAATGTACAAATTAGAAATACACACCGAACTCATAGAAATACAAAAGCTCTGTATAAAGAAAATAAAGTGTCCATTAAAATGGGGACAAGAATCATAGGAGACTTCACCACAACAAAAGGGCTCCTGCAGGGTTGTTCCACATCTACAACCCTATTTAAAATATAGTTAGAGAAAACCTTGATTACATGGAAAAGAAAATGCGGAGGCATGGGAGTACCGGTACGAAACGAATACCTATATATACGTTAAGCTTTGCAGATGATCAAGTAGTGATTGCGCAAGACCAAGAAGACCTTAGATACATAATGAAGAAACTACAAAAAGAATATACCAAGGATAGCCTAGATATTATTAACCTCGCGAAAACAGAGTACCTATCTACAAGTGAAGAAGACATAGAAGATCTACAGATTAACGACAACGTAACAATAAAAGGAAAAGATAAATTCAAATACTTGGGGTTTAATCACGAAAAAGGCAACAGCACAGGAAGAAATTAAGCAAAGATTAGGACAAACCAGAGACAAACAAGAATCCGACATCTTAACTCAGTATGGTGGGATAGACACCTAAATATGAACACAAAAACAAAGATTTATAAAACATTAATGCGAATTATTATGACATCTGGAGCTGAAAATTGGATTATAAACCAGCAAAACAGTAGGAAGATAGTAGCAATAGAGATTGAAAGCTGCAAAAAACATCAACAAAAACAGACATTTTAACATATATAGGACAAAAAAGACTAAAGTGCTATGAACATGTAAGAAGAACTAGCGGCAGCAGATAGATAAAGAGAATGACTCAGAAGATCCTTCTTCTTCTTAGAGTGCCGTCTCCCTACGGAGGTTGGCAATCATAATGGCTATTTTTATTTTAGAACTTGCTGCTCTAAACAAATCAATCGATCTGCATTGGTACCAATCACGTAGATTCTTTAACCATGAGTTCTACCTTCGGCCAACAGATCTTCTTCCTTGAATCTTTCCCTGTATTATCAGTCTCAAAATTTCATATTTTGGT